TTTGAGCATGAGAGAGAGAAAGAGAGAGAGGTCTTCTATTTGCTGGTTCACTTCCCAAATGACTGTAATGGCTGGGGCTGGGCTGGGCTGAAGCCAGGAGCCAGGAACTTTATCTGGGTCTCCCTCATGGGTGACGGGGCCCAAGTGCTTGGGCCACCCTCTGTTGAATCTCAGCTGCATTAGCGGGGAGCTGGTTCAGAAATGCAGCAGCCAGGTCTTCAATCAGTGCTCAGATGTGGGATGCTGGCTGGCATCCAGGCGGCAGCTTAACCTGCTGCGCCACGACGCTGGCCCTGCTGCTGTTTTTCTTATGTTCCATTTCTCTTTCATCCTTTTTTTTTTTTTTAAAGATTGATTTATTTGAAAGAGTTAGAGAGAGAGAGAGAGATCTTTCATCCACTGGTTCACTTCCCAAATGGCCACAATGGCCAGGCTGGGCCTTACCAAAGCCAGGAGCTGAGAGCTTCTTCTGGGTCTCCCATATGGGTGCAGGGGTCTGAGGACTTGAGCCATCCTCAGCTGCTTTCCCAAGTACATTAGCAAGGAGCTGGATCAGAAGTGGAGCAGCTTGGGCCGGCGCCGAGGCTCTCTAGGCTAATCCTCCGCTTTGCGGCACTGGCACACCGGGTTCTAGTCCCGGTTGGGGCAAAGGATTCTGTCCCAGTTGCCCCTCTTCCAGGCCAGCTCTCTGCTGTGGCCAGGGAGTGCAGTGGAGGATGGCCCAAGTGCTTGGGCCCTGCACCCTATGGGAGACCAGGAAAAGCACCTGGCTCCTGCCTTCGGATCAGCGCAGTGCGCCGGCCGCGGCAGCCATTGGAGGGTGAACCAACGGCAAAGGAAGACCTTTCTCTCTGTCTCTCTCTCTCACTGTTCTCTGCCCTGTCCAAAAAAAAAACAAAAAAAAAAAAAAAAAAAAACCTTAAAAAAAAAGAAGTGGAGCAGCTTAGACTTGAACTGGTGCCCAAATAGGACACTGGTGGTGCAGGCTGTGGCCTTAACCACTATACTACAATGCTGGCCCCTCTTCCTTTAAAAAAATATAAATATATTTATAAAATGAAATATATATACATAAATGAAAGGCAGAGTGACAGAGAGAGAGGAAGAGACAGAGGCATCTGCTGGTTCCCTCTGTTAAAGGCTGATACCTGCATTCGAGAACTCCATGTGGGTCTCCAACATGGGTGCAGGGGCCCAGGCTCTTGGGCCATCATCCATTGCTTTCCCAGGGACATTAGCAGGAAGCTGGAAGGGAAGTGGAACAGCAGGGACTTGAACCAGCACTCCACTATGGGATGGCCCTCATCTAAGCAGTGACAGCGACCTGCATTTTTGTTGGGCTTGTTTTATCTCTCCCACCCACCCCTCCCTTTGCACTGGTTGGGAGTAGTCTTCAAAACATTTATAGAAAGTGAGTATTCTGGGGGCTGGCGCTGTGGCATAGTGGGTAAAGCTGCCGCCTGCAGTGCCGGAATCCCATAGGGGTGCCAGTTTGAGTCCCAGTTGTTCCACTTCCAATCCAGCTCTCTGCTGTGGCCTGGGAAAGCAGTAGAAGAAGGCCCAAGTCCTTGGGCCCCTGCACCCATGTGGGAGATCCAGAAGAAGCTCCTGGCTCCTGGCTTTGGATTGATGTAACTCCGGCTGTTGCAGCCATCTGGGGAGTGAACCAATGGATGGATGACCTCTCTGTCTCTCTCTGCCTCTCCTTCTCTCTCTGTGTAACACTTCCAGATAAATAAATAAATATTTTAAAAAAAGAGTATTCTGAAAAAACTACTTATGCATTTCAATTCTTTTGCACCAAAATAACCTTATTTTTAAAATAAAGTCCTCATGAACTTTTTGAAGCACCCTCCTATTTTAAAGCCAACTGAGACCCATGCTGTTTCAGCCCTAAGTTCTCTAGAATACATCTCAATTTTTTTATTGAAAACTGTAGCATCATTACCACAAAATTCTAATAACAAGCCCATGTTGGAATCTCCCCTTTTAGAGTTGATTGATTTTTTAAAAGATTTATTTATTTATTTGAAGTTAGAGTTACACACACACACACACACAGAGAGAGAGAGAGAGAGAGAAAGAGAGGTCTTCCATCCACTGGTTCACTTCCCAATTGACTGCAATGGCCGGAGCTGTGCTGATTTGAAGCCAGGAGCCAGGAGCTTCTTCCAGGTCTCCCACAAGGGTGCAGGGGCCCAAGGACTTAGGCCATCTTCTACTGCTTTCCCAGGCCGTAGCAGAGAGCTGGATTGGAAGTGGAGCAGCTGAGACTCGAACTGGCGTCCACATGGGATGCCAGCACTGCAGGCGGTGGCTTTACCCGCTTATGCCACAGTGCTGGCCCCTTACAGTTGATTGATTTACAAAGGTAACCTTACAAGTTGTGCTGGTTGTGGTGACCTCAAAGTGCTGGGTGGGTGGAGAATCCAGGGCACAGGGCAGAGGGGTTTGGTGGCATCCGTGTCCCGGCCTCCTCCCCTCTGAACCCCACCTTTCCTTTAGAAATTCTCTGGTTAACATCTCTGGATACAAACTATACACAGTTTCCATTTAAAACTTTGTCCCAAGGGCCAGCATTGTAGTGCAGCAGGTTAAGCTGATAATTTTGATACTGATCTCCCATATCAAAGCGTCGGTTTGAGTTCCAGCTGCTCTGCTTCTGATCCAGCTCTCTGCTAATGTGCCTGGAAAGCAGGAGAAGATGGCCCAAGACTTGGGGCCCTGCAATCCACATAGGAGACCCAGATGGAGTCCCAGGCCCTTGGCTCTGGCTTGGATCAGCCTTGGCTTTTATAGTCATTTGGGGAGTAAAGCAGCTGATGGAAGATCTTTCTCTTTCTCTGTCTCCCTCTGACCCCTGTCACTCTGCTTTGCAAATAAATAAATCTTTTAAGAAAACATTGTCACAGTGACTATAAAATATTCCTCCTTTCTATTTGATCACCTAAAAGTAGATTGGTATTGGGGGTTGGAATTTTGGTGTAGCAGATAAAGCTGCCTCCTGTGACACTGGCATCCCACATGGGCACTGGTTTGTGTCCTGGCTGCTCCACTTCCTATCCAGCTCCCTGCTAATGTGCCTGGGAAAAGCAGCAGAAGATGGTCCCTGCCACCCACATAGGAGACCTGGATGAGATTCCTAGCTCCTGGCTTCAGCCTGGCCCAGCCCTGGCCGTTGTAGCCATCTGGGGAATGGACCAGCAGATGGAAGATCTGTCTGTCTTTCCCTTTCACTCTGTAACTCTGACTTTCAAATATTTTTTTTTAAAGTAGGCTGGCATCATCTAAACGAACATTACAAAGACAGCAAAAGAAATATTGAAACAGCACAGAAAGAACTCAGTATACAACATCACATTTACATGCTGGAGGGTCTCACGCTACAGTCACGCTACAGTGACTGACAAGCGAGCAGAGCTGGTTCCTTTGCCCATTCTGGTTTAAGAGAGTGATTTTATATTCCCAGAACTGAGTACAGTTTTGTCTGGGTCCTCTTCCTTCCTGCTGCAGCTCCAGGTGGCCAGTGCCTTCCTAGTTCCCAACACAAAACAACACTTAATTATGCATCTTGTCCTTCCTTAAGAACATAGAAGATTCTTCTTTTGTAAAAATCCCATGTCTTTGCTTGATTCAAATCTTCCTGCCCTGCCTCCACCCCTCCCTGGCGATTCCTGATTTTCCATCTGGAAGGATAAGTTAAATTTCAGTTGGCTCACAAGGAGGGGTTATAGCCACATGCCCTTCCCGGCTTAGCCTGTCGTCTCTGCTTAGCTGTAGAGCCTGCAGTGGCAAAGTACCTTTAGTGTTCTCACCTGGGAAATGGGAGGCGCATGTAATCCCCTTCTGTTCCATCAGATGGCAGGATCGGTGGACGGCGGCAATGGAGATGATGCAGGTGATGCTGATGGTGCCGACTCAAGAAATACTCTTGAGTATTGAAATACTCTCCTGCCTTCCCCACTCATTGCCTCACCATCTCAAGTTTTTTTTTTTTTTTTTTTCCTGACAGGCAGAGTGGACAGTGAGAGAGAGAGACAGAGAGAGAGGTCTTCCTTTGCCGTTGGTTCACTCTCCAATGGCCGCCACAGCTGGCACGCTGTGGCTGGTGCACTGTGCTGATCCGAAGGCAGGAGCCAGGTGCTTCTCCTGGTCTCCCATGGGGTGCAGGGCCCAAGCACTTGGGCCATCCTCCACTGCACTCCTGGGCCACAGCAGAGAGCTGGCCTGGAAGAGGGGCAACTGGGACAGAATCCTTTGCCCCAACCGGGACTAGAACCCGGTGTGCCGGCGCCACTGGGTGGAGGATTAGCCTATTGAGCTGCGGCACCGGCCTTTTTTAAGATTAATTTATTTACTTGAAAGGCAGAGTTACAGAGAGGCAGAGGCAGAGAGAGAGGTCTTCCATCCACGGGTTCACTCCCTGGGTGGCCACAATGGCCGGAGCTGCGCCAATCCAAAGCCAGGAGCCAAGAGCCTCCCAGGCAGGTGCAGGGGCCCAAGGACCTGGGCCATCCTCTGCTGCTTTCCCAGGCCATAGCAGAGAGCTGGATTGAAGTGGAGCAGCTGGGACTCGAACCGGTACCCATATGGGATGCCAGCACTGCAGGCGGCGGCTTTACTTGCTATGCCACAGCACCGGCCCCCACCTCTGATTTTACATGGACGTAATCTCGTGGTTTACTTTATAATGACAGAAATGTGCCTGAGGTAAGGAGGTGGAAAAGCATTCCTCTTAGGTGGAAATAGCCGTTCTAGGGACGTGTCAGGCACTCGGGAGGCAGGTCAAGCCCAGAAGCCGCAGGTGACCAGACGGATGAAGGAGTCCAGCTCCTTTGCTAGGAACAAGGGGAGGGAGTGTTTTTGCTACATAGGAAGAGGAAGACAGGGAGGCAGAGAGTGGACAAGGGAGTTTCCATGTAGGAAGGAGCTGGGAAGAGTGAGAGAAGCTAGCGTTTGGCCAGAGACGGCCGCGGAGGCCCCTCGGAGGCGGTGCTTACCCTGCGAAGTGAGATGCCTGCGATTCTTTGGGAAGTTGCTCGTGTTTTTGCGACGTGAGTGTCCTGTTCATTCTGCCTCCAAAGATCACCACGAACGTCTATGAATTTCAGAATGTTTCACGCTTCATTTGGGATGCAAGTCTGCGGTGGCCAAAGAGAAGTGTGTGGGGAAAAGGAGCTGGGAGATGAGGCCGCGCAGAAGGCTTGAGGGAAGCCTTGCATTTTCAGGCCACGGACTCGGGAGGCTCCCAAGGGAAGGCCCTGCAGCTCTCAAGCTCACGCTAACATTTCCGTCGCCTTGACACTCTGATGAAATGTCACTGTAGTAGCATTTAAACATTGGAGGGTGCGGTTACCCGATGTCCTCAGATACCCAGAGCAAACATTTGGTTCTCACAATAGAGCAACTTTGAAAGATTTGCCTTGCGATGTCCATTTACTGGAAAGAAAGCGCCCTGTAGAGAAAGGAGGCAAGATAGATGGCTTCGCTTCAGTTTCAGACCCCGCTTCCGGCCCAGTTATCTGGGTAATGGCCAGGGGGGTCTCATTCTTTCACCTCCTGTCTCTCCTTACAAATGTGTCCTCGCTCACATACAGCGATGATGTCACTGACCCCACCTTGCCTGGACCAAGCGCTGGCTCAGTCTCCTAATCCTACAGCGTGGCTGGCGCTGCTCCACCTGCACCTGTTCATGTGGTCGGCAGGTGTCTGTGACGGGCAGAACCGGCCTCTCTCACAGGCCAGGTCCTGTTGGCACCGTTCTCCCTCCCACAGAACTCTCTGACCTCTTACAGCTCAGGTCACAGAAAAACCAGAAGCCATCTGCTTCCTTCCATCACACCTCTCTGCAGTCCAAGGTTCCCTGGGAGGGTTTCCAGGAATGTGAGCTCACAGAGCTTGTCATTGGCTCTTGGCCTTCTGAATCCAAGGCAGTGCTGGGTCTCCTGGGAATCCATATGGCTGCGGGGGGGGGGGGGGGGAGTATTTGGGGCAGGAGGTGTGAGCTGCACTGTTCTATGGAGCACTTGCCTGCGCCAGCCTCTGTCTTAGCCCTTGTGTGCCCTGTCTCACGGAACTCCTCACTACAATACCATAAAAGAGGGAGAGATAGTAACCCCAGGATCTGGTGAGATAAACTGGCAGTTACAGAGGGTCCATCACAGGGCCAGCACTGTGGTGTATTGGGTAAAGTCCTGGTCTGCAGCACTGGCAGCCCCTATGGGTGCCAGTTCCAGTCTCAGCTGCTCCACCTCCCATCCGGCTCCCTACTGCACCTGGGATAGTGGAGGGTAACCCAAGTGCTTGAGCCCCTGCACCTGCATGAGATATACAGAAGAAACTCCTGGCTTCGGATCAGCCCAGCTCTGGCTGTTGCAACCATTTGGAGAGTGAATCAGCAAATGGAAGATCTCTGTCTCTCTCTCCCCGCCTTCTCTCTCTAACTCTGCCTTTCAAATAAATAAACCTTTTTTTTTCTTTTTAAAGAGGGTCTGTCACTTATTCAAGGCTACATTGTTAATTTGGAATCAGGTCTGTGTGGTTATGCTCTTTATTCTACCTCTTTTTCTGAATTGGGGAGCGGGCACCATGGGCTGTGTCCAGCATGTGTCCATGCTGTCACTTCCTTAAAATCCTAGGAAGGAACGTGAGTTCCCATACCCCATTATTTCATAGGGTGAAAGCTTCTATGCTTTGGTGTCTCCACGTCTGGTGCCATCCTGGGTACCTGGGTTAGGACAAGGCAGGTTTGAGAGGCCTGCTGCTGGGACACCCGCCAGCTTTGGGGCAGCTCTTGCCCTAAGTCTTCAGAGGGACCTGGAGGAAAACTCCCCCAAGTGCCTTTATTTGGAGGGCACTGGACCTCTCCCCTCCCCCTGAGAGGGCACCATAAAAGCACAGGCTGCCCAGGTAAATTTGAGCCTCAAGCAAATGTGTATGTTATTATAAGTAGGCCCAGGCAATCTTGGGGACATATTTACGCTAAAACGTTATTTGTCTATCGGATACTCAAATTCAGCTGGGCATCCTGAGTTGTTTTTGGTAATTGTAGAACCCAAGTCCCCTAGGATGAGCCTGTGCAGCTGAGGGTGTTAACAGGCCTCTGAAAACCCAAATCCCGGAGCCAGCAAGGAGGCTGCGTCAGCCGGGGACCTGAGGGCGGTTGGCAGGACTGCACGATTGGCACCCAAAGATGGTTGCTCTGCACAGGGGAGCCAGAGCACACGGCGCCAAGCCAGCGACTGCTGGAATCTCCACAATGGAGTGAGCCATGGATCAAGAGAGTGGTTTGGGGCGCTGAAGGGAGAGGCAAACACCACTCAGCCAGTGTTAGTTGCTCTCCAGGGCTGCCATCAAAAAGGACTCAGATGGGTGCTTTCAACAACTGACATTTCTCACCACTGTGGAGGCTGGAAGTCAAGGTCAAGGCACCAGCAGGGTTGGTTTCTCCTGGGGCCTCTCTCCTTGGCTCCTAGATAGCGGCTCTGTCCCTGTGTCCTCACATGGATGTCCGTGTGCGTGTATGTGTGTGTGTGTGTGTGTGTGTGTGTCCTAATCCCTTCTGCTTTGAAGGACACCTGCCAGACTGGATTAGGGACCACTCTCAAGACCTCACTTTAACTTGATTATCTTTTTAAAGGCCCTAGCTCTGATACCGTCACATTCTGAGGTTCTGGGGATCACTGTGTCGACATGTAAACGTGTAGAGGGGACGGCAGGGGCACAGCCAGAGAGAGTCTCAGGAAACACAGGAAGTGCTTGGTGCAGGGGAAGGCACTCTGGGGATCTGGTGCGTGCCCACACAGCCCAGGCTTGAACTGCATGCAAGGCTTGGCAGATACCCTGTGGCCTCCCGGGAACCCGAGGGTATGAGAGGCCACGAGGAAGGGCGAGACCCTTTCCCACCACCTCTCATGTTCTGGAGGGGTGCGTGAGTGTCTGCCCACGCTCAGGGCACAGTTGCTGGCCATCAGCTCGCCACAGCGTGGAAGTTGCTCCCTGGCTCCAGGGTGTGCTGCCATTTCTGCAGTCATCTGGCCCCTTTGTGTCAGTGATGCCCCGTGCAAGAGCCACGGCGAGCTGGTGTCTTTGGCAAGTCTTCCTTCACTCTCTCTGTTAGTAATGAATTAAGTTAGACTTGTTTCTTCACCATCAGGCCCGGCCTTGTGCCTTGTGCCACAGGAGGCTGGGAGTGCAGGCGGTCAGAGCCCAAGGGGGAGGCTCCCAGTGGAGAACTGAGAAGCAGCAAATGAAACATAAAGCAGTCTTTAAAGGGGAATGACTTGGAGGCTTGAGGGCTGGGACTAGAAGCAGGCCAGACTCACTTCATCCCATAGCTGCTGTCCAGCACGTATACATACACCAAACAAAACAGGATGCAAGTTTTTTTTTTTTTTTTTTTTTGACAGGCAGAGTGGACAGTGAGAGAGACAGAGAGAAAGGTCTTCCTTTGCCGTTGGTTCACCCTCCAATGGCCGCCATGGCCGGCGCGCTGCAGCTGGCGCACTGCGCTGATCCGATGGCAGGAGCCAGGTGCTTCTCCTGGTCTCCCATGGGGTGCAGGGCCCAAGCACTTGGGCCATCCTCCACTGCACTCCCAGGCCACAGCAGAGAGCTGGCCTGGAAGAGGGGCAACCAGGACAGAATCCGGCGCCCCGACTGGGACTAGAACCCGGTGTGCCGGTGCCGCAGGTGGAGGATTAGCCTAGTGAGCCGCGGCGCCAGCCCGAATGCAAGTTTGATTATAACAGCACTTGCCAAAGGACAAGATTTAGGTTTTGACAAAAACAAGTTAGAAAAGGGGCCAGGAAGACTGCCTCTGTGTTCACAGTAGCTAATGTAAAACCACTACCTTTGCTTTTGGAGATGATGTGCTAGAGACATGCAAATATCCCTAGACTGCAAGACCTCAGAGGCTCAGTCTCTTGCAGGCTCATCCTGCGAGGCCTGCACACCGCCGGGATGGTGGGGCCATGGCGTACTTCCACAAGAAGTACCGGAGACAAGTTTTTTCGATGAACATGTCCGTTTATTAACGATCAAGCCCACCTTCTAAAGGGCAGGCAGAGGGGTGTAGCTAGGTCAGGGCAACACTAATTCTACAGGGTAAGGCCAATATTGGCACCGCTATACTTCTCCAATCAGCTTGAAGGTCACGTAGGCTACGGTGGCCTTCCTGAAGGGCTTGGGCCACACCCGGGAGCAGTTTACCTGATTGGCAGGGGTGGGGGAAATATGCCTGGGGCTCCTGCCACCTGCCAGCAGTCAGGTTAACCCCTTGCATGGGCAGTCTCCCAGCCAGGTACAGGATCACCCACAGTCTCTTTCTCTACCAGCCCCTCCCTTTGCTGGGAGCGTCTGTGTTTCCTACTCAAATAAAACTTTGCTTCTTCTCTTCTCAGCTGCATCCGTCTTGTAAATTGTCCTCAACACTAGGACAGTGACCTAGACTCATCTCACCGGTTTTCCTGCCACGGCGTCCGCTCCTGTGCTGTCGTGGCAGGGTGAGGGAACGAGCCGGGGACAGGCAGGGAGTGCACAGATGTGGGAGGCGCTGAAAATGCTGCTGCCCAGATGAGTGTGGGGGGCAGAACCTGCCACCCCAAAATCTGTCTCTCTAGCCTAAGGAGTGTTTTGAGAAACAGCAGACTCAGGCGGAGCTCTGAGAACAGGAGCAGAAGTCACCACTTTGCAGGAAAGATTGGCATCGGGAAAGGAAATCCCTAATCACAAGGGCATCTCTCCCTCTGTAGCAGAAGGAGGCTACCCTGAATCACCAGGGAGCTTGCCAACGGAGAAGGCGCCGAGTAATACATCCCGAGGAGTGTGGTTTTCCGTGTCTCCTCCCCATTCCTGGGCTCTCCTGAACTGAGTTATTTGTTCCAGTTGAAGATGGCATTTGCTTATTTTATGTTTTTAAGATTCATTTTTTTTTTATCTGAAAGGCTGAGTTAGAGAGAGGGATCTTCCATTCACTGGTTCACTCTCCAGATGGCCACCATCTCCAGGGCTGAGTCAGGTTGACATCAAGAACCAGAAGCCTCATCTAGGTCTTCCTAGATGGCAGAGGCCCAAACATTTAGGGCATCTTTTGCTGATTTTCCCATTAGTAGGGAGCTGGATCGGAAGTGGAGCAGCCAGGACATGAACTGGCGCCCACACGGGATGCCAGCATTGCAGGCAGCAGCTTAACCCACTACTCCACAATGCTGGCCTGAAGATGGCATTTAAATGTGAACTCCAAGTCAGCCCTTGGAGATTTCCTCACTGAGCCGCGTATCTCTCATATCTGTGTGAAGTATCATGCTAATAAACTTCTGCTTGTTTTTTCTTGTTAACCTAGCTTTTCTTTACAGGGGGCATCCCAACCAAGAACTATAAAGGGAAGAGGGAAGATTATTTTTCTTCCTCTCTAAGAATTCGAAAAGTTGCTGAAAATAGGACTAGATAAAGCTTCTCCCAGCATCCTCTGCCTCCCAGCCCAATTGACTGTGGCTATTGTCTCGGACAGATACACGGGAAGAATGGACGCTATGCCTGCTGGGCGAATATCTGAAAGCTGGGTAGCAGTGTAGTGGTTTGATAACCTGTGGTTAAAATCAAGTTTCCGGCCAGCGCCACGGCTCACTAGGCTAATCCTCCACCTGCGGCGCCGGCACTCTGGGTTCTAGTCCCGGTCGGGGCGCCGGATTCTGTCCTGGTTGCCCCTCTTCCAGGCCAGCTCTCTGCTGTGGCCCGGGAGTGCAGTGGAGGATGACCCAAGTGCTTGGGCCCTGCACCTGCATGGGAGACCAGGAGAAGCACCTGGCTCCTGGCTTCAGATCAGTGTGATGTGCCGGCCACGGTGGCCATTGGAGGGTGAACCAATGGCAAAGGAAGACCTTTCTCTCTCTCTCTCTCTCTCTCTCTCTCTCTCTCTCTCTCTTTCTCTCTCACTGTCCACTCTGTCAAAAAAAAAAAAAATCAAGTTTCCTTAATGTAAGGGAAGAAAAAGTTTCTCCTTTTGCCCTTCTAGGTTGTTTGGCTGGTCTATGAATTAGATTATCCATAGGAGATAAACAATTTTAATTACATATGTACTGTTGCTCCCCCATTCGCGGAGGAACGACACTAGACCCTGCGCTGTTCTTTTTGCCCGGCTCTTCCCGGGTTAGCTGCCGGTCCCTCACTCGTGGAGGAACGACGCCGTCCCGAGTTAGCTGCCGACCCCCCGTCTCCGTGGAGGGGCGGCACCCCCTCGCCGCCTTCCCCGCTTCCTCGGAGGAGCGGCACACCGCCGACTCTCTCGGGGGCTGCTCAGATGTTATCCAGATGTTCCTCAGATGTTCCTGGTGCATGTTGTCTCTCTCCTCCTTTATAGTCCTCTTCCACCAATCCCAACTCTGCTACCCACACGCCGAGCACGCTGCTCTCCTCCAATCAGGAGCAGGATCAGCTCCTGCAGCTTATCAGTCAAACTGATGAGGCAGCTGCTTAGTTGTTTGCTCCTCCCCAGCGCCATGTTGTGGGAGAGCAGATGCATAGAATTAGTCCTAGTTCCAGTAATTTAGTCTAGTCTCAGTTGCTCCCCACAATGTATGCATAGAAGCCCCACAAAAACATGAGACTCCAGGAAGGGGCCAGATGATTGAGATGCAAAAATGATCCTGAGGGGCCGGCGCCGTGGCTCACTTGGTTAATCCTCCGCCTGCAGTGCCAGCATCCCATATGGGTGCTGGGTTCTAGTCCCGGGTGCTCCTCTTCCAGTCCAGCTCTCTGCTGTGGCCCGGGAGGGCAGTGTGAGACCGGAAGGAAGCACCTGGCTCCTGGCTCGGATTGGGGCAGCGCGCCGGCGTAGTGGCCATTTGGGGAGTGAACCAATGGAAGGAAGACCTTTCTCTCTCTCTCTCTCTCTCTCTCTCACTGTCTAACTGTCAAATAAAAAAAAAATGACTCAGTTACAGAAAGGAATTAAGTGGGGTTGATGGAAATAAATTTTGGGAAGGTGGGGGGACATTTATGAATAAAGGTATGTAGATAAAAGTCGCAGGTGATTGGTGATTCTCTTCCAGGTACAGCCAGCCTTACAATGATAATTTAAATGTAAACTCTCGAAGAGGGGAAAGGTATAATTTATTTTAGGCAGCTGAGAGGAGGCGAAGAGCTTTTCCTGGGTAGGCTGGGTCTCAGATTCTTTTGGGTCCAAATAATCAATATAGCAAAGAAGCATATTTTGAGAGGTCAGGTTCTGAACCGCTTGATTCACTTTTATGTTATCTCAGGTAAATGATTTTACCTCTCTGAGTTTCAGATTATTCCGTCAGCAAAATGAGACTATCACAATAATGGATTTATTCATTGTTCACGTACTATGTGCTGACTACGGGCTAAATGCTTCCCATTAGTCTCATTTGGACTCTCACAACCACCCTCTGAGGTAGGTGCCTTGTTATGATGTCAATTTTACACATGAGAAACCGGGGCACTGAAAGGTCAGGTAACCAGGGAAAGACAGAGCTGAAAGAACACTGAGGACTCATTCCTGAGTCTGCTCCACTACCAGGGCTACAAAATGAGACACGTTCAGGAAAATGGTAACCCCAGATCTCCGTACTCAATAGGCATGATACAGAGCAGCTATTATTTTAATCTTCCTTACTTGAATTTGAGAATATTGTCAAGTGCAAAAAAAAAAAAAAAAAAAGGAAGCAGGGAGAAAAATCTTATCTTTGTATTAGTGTTTTCTAAACCTTACATTTTTTTTTTTAACTTTTATTTAATGCATATAAATTTCCAAAGTACGACTTACGGATTACAATGGCTTCCCCCCAATACCGTCCCTCCCACCCACAACCCTCCCCTTTCCCACTCCCTCTCCCCTTCCATTCACATCAAGATTCATTTTCGATTATCTTAATATACAGAAGATCAGCTTAGTATACATTAAGTATGGATTTCAACAGTTTGCTCCCACACAGAAACATAAAGTGAAAAATAATAGATGATTTTTTTTTAAATGATGATGAAATCAGATCAGACCTATTGTCATGTTTAATCCCAGTGAGAGTCAAGTTGGGAATTGATAATTTCTTCCTCTTTTTTTTTATTTTTTTATTTTTTTTTTTATTTTTTACAGAGGATCAGTTTAGTATGCATTAAGTAAGGATTTCAACAGTTTGCACCCCCATGGAAACACAAAGTGAAATATATTGTTTGAGTACTCGTTATAGCATTAAATCTCAATGTACAGCACATTAAGGATAGAGATCCTACATGAGGAGTAAGTGCACAGTGACTCCTGTTGTTGACTTTACCAATTGACACTCCTGTCTATGGCATCAGTAATCTCCCTATGCTCCAGTCATGAGTTTCCAAGGCTATGGAAGCCCTCTGAGTTCTCCGACTCTTATCTTGTTTAGACAAGGTCATAGTCAAAGTGGAGGTTCTCTCCTCCCTTCAGAGAAAGGTACCTCCTTCTTTGATGACCTGTTCTTTCCACTGGGATCTCACTCGCAGAGATCTTTTGCCAGAGTGTTTTGGCTTTCCATGCCTGAAATACTCTCATGAGCTTTTCAGCCAGCTCCGAATGCCTTTAGGGCTGATTCCGAGGCCAGAGTGCTATTTAGGACATCTGCCATTCTATGAGTCTGCTGAGTATCTCACTTCCCATGTTGGATCACTCTCCCCTTTATTTACTCCATCAGTTAGCGTTAGCAGGTACTAGACTTGTCTATGTGCTCCCTTTGACTCCCAGTCCCTTCACCATGACCAACTGTGAACTGAAACTGATCACCTGGAACAGTGAGATGGCATTGGTACATGCCACCTCGATGGGATTGAATTGGAATCCCCTGGTATGCTTCCAACTCCACCACTTGGGGCAAGTCAGCCTGAGCATGTCCCAAATTATACATCTCTTCCCTCTCCCATTCCCACCACCATGTTCAACAGGGATCACATTTCAGTTAATTTTCAACACTTAAGAATAACTGTGCATCAATTACAGATCTAAACCAGTCATATTAAGTAGAACAGATAAAAAAACTACTAAGAGGGATAATGTATTTAGTTGTTCATTAACAGTCAAAAAATATGGAACGCTTCACGAATTTGCGTGTCATCCTTGCGCAGGGGCCATGCTAATCTTCTCTGTATCGTTCCAATTTTAGTATATGTGCTGCCGAAGCGAGCACTAAACCTTACATTTGTAATCAGGAGAAAACTACTGAAAAGAAAAATAATTGTAATCCCCCAAGGGTGAGGCCGGATGAAGATCAGGGGTGAAGCCCACAAAATATCGTGGCCCTCAGTGGCTGAGGGTGGGGCCGCGGCCTGGAGCGGAGGATGGGCACCGCTGGACATTGTGGGGTCACCACGCGTTCGGGTTTCCTTGGCAACCTGTGCAGCTGGTGGCGGGCGCATTCCCCGGGGAGGCCGCCCAGGGGCACGCCAGGAGCCCTTTTGCGACCTGGAGGCCGCGGCAGAGGTGCTCAGCCCGTTAGTTCCCGAGACTCAGACCCTGGCTCCGCGCCCGGCGCGCTGCAGGAGGCCGGGGCCCTCCATGGCGGACTCGCGGCCCAGCGGCCCTCGGCGCGGCGGCGCGCAGCACGAGCTGCTGCAGAAGATGGTGCGCCTCGAGCGGGGCTGCCCGCGGCGCTCCGAGCCCGAGGCGGCCGGCCGGCGAGCGGCCTCGGGCGACGCCGGCTCCTGCTCCGGCTGTTGGTGCTGGCGGCGGCTTTTCCGACCGGGGGCGGCCCGCGTGGGCCCGCGCAGGAAGAAGGCCCAGGAGTCCGGCCTGTGGGGGCCGCTGAGCCTGCAGAGGCTGTTCCAGAGGCTGGCGACGTGGAGGCGCTACCTGCGGAGCGGGGGGCGACCCGAGAGGCTGGAGGAGATCCCTCTGCTGGTGCTGGACCGCGAGCAGGACGGCGACTAGGCCGCAGCCGGGTGGCCCCTGCTGGTGCCCGAGACCGGCCCGCTGGCCGCGGCCGCCTGCCCTCCCGCTCCCCGAGAAACTGGCCCCCATTCCGCATCCTGAGCATTGGTTTTATTTTGTAAACAAAGGCAAGAAATGAAAATAAACCCAACACTGTATGAACGAAAGAACATGCATTTTGGGGGGAACAAATTGAGGTCGGTTGTGAGGTCAGGGCTCCATCCCACGGGGAGGAGGAGGAGGAGGAGGCTCCCCCCAGGCCTCCAGCCTGCCTTCTGCGGGAAGCGCATTAGCTTAGGAAAGAGGGTGGGAGCAGGCCTGGGTTTTCTCTCTTTGCAATACCCTGGAGGATTTTTCTTTTTTTAAATTCGAGATGCTGAGCTCCTCATTCCGCATCAACCAGAGCAAGTCTTCTGTTTATAAGCCATTTGTGAGTCCTTGTAGATGGACGTTAGAACCAAGGCTTAGCCATGGGACTGGGGCGTTTGCAAGCTAGTGCTCCAGATAAAAGAGCAAAGGCAGAGGACTCCAAGAGACGGCCTCTCTTTCTTCATCGACAGAAGCCTGGTAATGCTACTCTGACCTTTCACATGGGTCAGTGTAGAAGTAAAACACTAGAAGTGATAGAGCCACACACCTTAGCAGTATTTTTGTTTTTTAAATATTATTTTTTTAAAATTTATTTGAAAGGCAGAGTTACAGAGATGCAGAGAGAGAGAGAGAGAGAGAGATCTTCCATCTGCTGGCTTACTCCCCAAGTGACCATAACGGCTGGAACTGGGCTGATCCAAAGCCAGGAGCCAGGAGCTGCTTCTAGGTCTCCCATGCAGGTGCAGGGGCCCAAGGACTTCTGCCATCTTCTACTGCTTTCTCAGGCCATAGCAGAGAGCTGGATTGGAAGTGGTGCAGCCATATGGCATGCCAGTACTGCAGGCGGTGGCTTTACCAGCTATGCCACAGCACCAGTCCTAGTATTTTTGTTTTAAATATTTATTTTTATTTATTTGAAAAGCACAGTTGAGAAAGAGAGAGCGAGAGAGAGATCGGTCGGTCTTTATTCCCTAAATGGCAACAGCTGGAGCTGGGCTTATCAGAAGCCAGGAGCTAGGAGCTTCACCCAGGTCTCCCACACAGGTACAGGGGAGTTAGCAGGGAGCTGGATTGGAAGTGGAGCAGCTGGGACTCGAACTGCTGTCCATATAGGATGCTGGTGCTGCAGGTGGCTGCTTTGCCCACAAGGCCACAGTATAGGCCCCACCTCTAAGGTATTCATTAAACTGTTGTAACTCTCTTTTCTGTAGGCTATCTCCAGACGGCCATCCACACCCGCCTTCTGCCCTTACTGCCCCAGCTGGCCAGGACTGCCCTTTGTACCAACAAGCTAAAAACGCCATCAGTGGGACTAGTCTCCACTTCCGGTTGCTGCTGCTAAGGTGGTCTTGGAATTCCTGATGACTTCCAGGCCCTTGGTTTAGAGTCAGTCTCTGGACATGAAGGGAGCAGACAGGGTTTACTGCAGTGATGGGGGAGTGGTGATGACTGGCCCCTGGCAGGAAGCTAGGGAGCTGAGTGAAGCCGAAAAAGTAAAGCGTAGACCAGAACTGAGGCCCCGCACGCCAGGATCCGTTATAATCGGACTTGGGACTGGTCAGGTGGATTTTGTATTTTGCTAGCATCTTTATTCCTGCCATGGTGTAGATAGCTTAAGTTATTCTATACACCTGTGACAGGAGAAGGCCTTCTTTAACCTGGGAGGCTGGTAAACCTCACCTCAGGTTCTGTTCTTACCAGAAAACCCATCCTGTTGTCTTGCCTACAGCTGATTGGGCCAGGGATTCCCATGATGCCTCAATTTAAAGCTAATTCCGTAGGTAGCACCCGGATGGAAACTCCCTGCTCGGAGAGATTGAGGTCAAGGAAAAGGAGAGCCTGCTGGAAGACTGCCAACTCGTGGACTTCAGAATGCCAGGACGCAGGTACTGTGGAACAAGATGTAAGAAGCTGCAACTGTTTAGCATTTCATGTGGTTATTTCCTTCAGGAAGGAAAAGCCAAAGCACAGCTAATTCTCCGACACTTAATTTGCATATGGCCGCACTGTTCTGTGGCCTGGGTGCTACTTCCTCTCCCTAGGTGAGGGCAGTTGGCCTGAATTGTCGCTTGGATCCGTCTCCTCCAACCAGAAGCACCACCACCGTGCGTCTGCTCTGTGTACAGTATAAACACAAGGCATAATGTAAGTGCTTAGCCTAGAGGATTTGTTGTGGTGCTTTAATGTGTCTTCTGTCTTCCTTGTGTCCTAGAAATCTTGAAGCCCGACGTTTTTGGTACCACCATCAGTGTTCTCTCAATTCCTTCCAGCTTTGATTATCAAGGGGCCCTCCCAGGGCGAGAGCCATAGCTTGTGCTAGGTTTGCGGGGTTGATACACAAACAGGTGTCTCCACTAAAGCCCAATTCAGAAACGCAGCCCTTGGGTGCAGATGCTGCCTCAGCATGATGAGGTTGGGCACCTGCCGGTGGTTCCGGCCCGGTTGCCCCAGTCACCCAAGGCCAGGGATTTTACAGGACTCCGTGAGGCCAACTCTCCTCTCTGCTCCCTGGGGCTGGAGTTAGCACCAGTATGAGATTGATTTCTCCTGTATCCATCCTCTTTCTAGCACAAAAACCTGCACAACAATAAAACCTTGCAGGGCTTCCTAATTGAGGGATTTTCAGCTGAGTGTGGGTATTTCGGAAACGTGCCTCTTGGCCAGGGAACATAAGGAGGTTGCCATGGGGAAGTTCTCTTAGGTGCCTCTTCTAGAAGCTTTTCTAAGGAGCCTTAGAGTCCCTTCAGGGAACTGCTTCAGGCCACTTCAAGGGCAAAATGTTTGCTGTAAGGAAGCCCTGGATTGGAAGCTGGCCGACCTGAGGCCACTCTGGCATGGGCTTCTGGCCTCCCTCTCCTGAGCTCCGCTCCCAGAGGTCTGCCCAACTCTGTCTCACTGTTGATAGCTAATGGCTTGGTAGTGTCCGGCCAGAGCCGAGGGCCACAGCCTGGCTGGCTGTAACGACCACCATCCCTGCTGGGGAAGCCTGGCTCCTTCACAGACAGGTGGCCAGCCTTGGAGTCCAGCTGCTGTGGGCTGGGGTAGGGCTAAAGCCCCTGGTTAAGAGAAGTTACAATTGCTACCCTGGAAAGGCAGCGGGGGTGGTTTGGGGGCTACGGAGTTTTCATGAGAACACACCGTTGGGTCAGGCAGGCACCACGATTGGCATGTTTAGTCTGACTCGGTGAGAGTCATGGTTGCACCTGTGGTTAAGCCCAAAGGTGGGCACCCAGAGAGAAGGAGGATGTCCATGTTTCTGTACCACAACACCTCAAGATGTGGTTTTGGGGTTTCCCCAACGAGTGGCTCACCCTTCCCGTTTATTTAGCAGTGACATCACTGTGGTCACCTGTAGTTTGCTGGTGGTCTGTGTTTTGTCTTTTTTTTTTTTTTTTTTTTTTTAGATTTTATTTGTTTGAAAGGCAGGGAGATGTCACCCTGAGTACTGGGTGGTGGGAGTCATGGGGGGAATCTGTGATGCTAGGGGTTGTTCTTGGAGAAGAGAATGCAAGGGAAAGCTTCAGTTGCTTTAGTGGGTTACGGCATGGCTCTATGAAGGGAAAGGAAGGAGGTCTGTTTGGGGTACGCTGAGGAGCACAAGAGGAGGAGCCTCGGCTCTGCCCGTAGGTTGTCCTGCTGCTCCCAGCACTACTCAGGGTTAGGTCCAGGAGGTGAGGCCAACTTCTGCCCCCTGGAGGAGAAGTAAGTTTGAAGATGTTCCCCTAATTTTGTTTAATCTATAAAGGCAGAACTTATTTCATACAATTCAGTAGTCTCTAACTACTATGAGACTTGACTTTTTAAAATTTTAAATTGTAAAATACACATAACAAAATTTACCACTTTAGCCTTTTTTTTCAGTGTCAAGGTCAGTGCTGTTATGTATATTTACATGTTTGTACAACCAGCCCCACCATCCAGCTCCAGAATTCTTCATCTTCGTAACTCAAACGCCACACTCAAAAAATAACTCCAGCTCTCCATGGCCCTCCCCTCAAACCTTGGCCACCACCATTCTGCTTTCCATGTCTTGCATGAGTGGAATCATGCAGAATTCGACTTTGTGATTGACTCAATTTAGCATCATCCATGTTGTAGTGTGTGTCGGAACTTCCTTTTAAGGCTGATAGTATTCTGTTTTTGTTGAACTACTCATCCGTCAGTGGACACGGTTGTTTTTACTCTCTGGCGCTTATGAACAATGCTGTGTGGACGTGCGTTTACAAACACCTCTTCGAGTTTCTGGCTGTGAACCCTGATGTGGATGTGCTACACTTATCACACACAATGTGCACATTTTTCCCCATCTTCCATTGGTTGCTTTCTTGCTCCATTGGTTGTATCCTTTGAACTGAGGTGTGAATTATGATGTAGTCCAATTCATCTGTGTCTTGTCACCTGTGCTTTAGTGTTCTAAGAAGTCATTGTCAAATCCAGTGCCATGAAGCTTTCCTCCTTATGTTTTCTTCTAAGAGTTTTATGCTCTTACGTTTGGATTTTAAATCCATTTTGAGTTTGTTTTTGATTACAGTGAGATCTCTTTTCCCGAACACTGCATTTAAACCCCTGTACTAAGAGACTTGAGCAGACTTCAACATGGCTTCTAGCAGCCTCAGGCCGTGTCCCTGAAACAACCCTTCTGAGTTCCTGCTGGAGGAGGTCAGGGCTGTCAGAAGAATTTAGTTTGTTCTGCCTGACATGTGAAGATAGGCCCCCAGCCTTCCTTTCTTGGAGCATTAAGGGGCTTACCATCATGAGTCTTCGCTCTGTCCCCCTGAGATAAACAACTCAGGAATGTCTTCCTGAGGCCCCCAATGCCTTTCCTTTGACCGGGGCTTCGTCTCCCAGTGTCGGTGGGAGGTGCAGTCCCAACACTGATGGTTGCCAGCCTGCAGACACACAGGCAGCAGTCACATTCACACCGAGCAAGCAAGCGGCCCTTTGTCATTGTTCTGCTCCCTGCTCTCCTGCTGACCCATTGTCCCTCCAGAACACCAGTCACCTCTGCAAATGGAATGGCGCTCAGCTCTTTCTGTTGATTCTTCCAGTAGTTTCTGAATATAATTAT